TAATTTTTCCGTAATTTTTAAGGTATTAAAGTAAATTTCAAATGTAAAAAATACAATATTTTAGATGGAAGATTTGTAATGTCCAATAAGATATAATCAAGCGTCATCATTGAGAAAACATCGATTTGAAAATAGTTTCAAAGTTCGTGAGCGAAACTTATCTTTTCTATCACGCATAATACGAGACAGTACATATTCAAGCATACATCCTTATGGACGTTTCAATGTACAAGAAGTAGGAGCACGCAATGCCAATGTCGAGTCACGCTCAGAAAATTGTCAAGGGGAAAGTGTGTTATACGTGAACAGACGTACGTATGACCTATGCTCGTATAACAACAATTACACGCTAGCACGTCGATTCCATCGCTGAGTAATATTAAAAAAAAAGTCATTCTAAAATAATAGCTCAACTTACCGTTTGATAATACGAATTCGACACGGTGGGAGTAATTGGACACGAAGGATCCTTCAGAACATAGTTTTCTTTTATACAGCAGGCTTCGGGGACCGTCTTTCCGGGGAACTTTGAGGTCCAATTCGTATTTTCGCGGAAGTCTAAATAATTTTCCGCGCCGCAACAATGGAGCTGTAGATATTTGTATTAAATATTAGACATCTTATCTTTTCCGTTTTTAATCATTGGTAAAAATGTTTTCTATTATTTACTAGATCTTTCGTAGCTTCTAAAGATAAACGGAAATGTAGGAAGATATTGTATGCTTATCAAGTTAGATAAATTGTTATTATCTCTTTGAATGATTCAAGTTAGCGATTAAATTTAACGCGATGTTTATCGAAGATTCATAGATATAAGAGATTATATATTTTTTCTCACTGTTGAGTTTTTAGAAAGAAAATAATACGAATACGTGATGCTTCTCCATAACTTATCGACTTTCCCATTCATTTTCTCTATAATTTATCAAGACGCTTTGAAACAAAATTCCGGAGAACGTTTGTAGTATACAATTTCGCTACAAAGTAGTACGATAGTGAACGCCGATAGCTCTTGTCCATGATATTGCCAGCTTTCACTTACACCAAAGTGCCGTGCAGTTAGCAAGTCACTTGGCGAATTAATCGTATTTATACATGCAAGATGGAAATCCGAAAGAATCGATGTATTGATGATTAATTCGCGTGTCAGCGCGCATTCGAAATTAATTATCACTAACCAACGGATTCGTTAAAGATAATTAGTAACTTTACCTCACTCATGATACCGTCCCACGCGACTGTCACCGTATCAGTTTTATCGCCGGTAGCGTAATACTTGACGATGGTCGACTTCAAGAAATCTTGCATACCTTTCTCGACCTGTGTGTGCGTGTAAATTTCACGTTAATATAGATCTTACAAAAGTATATATTTACATAACTAAGAGATTGTCATTTATTCGACACGGATTAATACTAAAATTTGAGCACGAAATATGGTAAATTGTAATTGAATACGCACGTCTCCTTTAAGTCCGAAAGCGAGACCAACTACCACACACTCCAGGACTAAAACCAGCAAGATTAGAATGCCGTACTGCAATCACAGAAAATATTTTTTACTCCTTTGTGTAACTCCGATACATATCTGACAAAGCCGGCAAGATGATGATTTTAGATGGAGGAATAAATAAAAAATGCCACGACGAGAAATTCCACTTTATATAGAAGAAGAAGAAGAAAGAAAGAAAAAGAAGATTTATTCATTTTCCATTTGTCATCTCTGTCTGTAAATTCACCTCTTTTCCGGTTGTATCGGCCATTTTGCATTCATGATTATATTATGATTCAGAGAAAAAGAAAACAAGACAAAAAATATATTACAAATAATAATTATAATAATTATAATTAATAATAATAATAATAATAATAATTAATTATAATACAAATAATTAATTATATTCTACTATTATAATATAATTAATATAAATATATTATAATTAATTGAATAATGCTCAATTTTGTTGCTCGTATTGTTTTTAACTATGTCAATTATTGGATAATTGCTACAATCAGCAATGTTGATAGCGTTTTCTATTAAAATATACATTAAATGATGCAATATTATTCTGGAATTTCTTATTGAACGTCAGGCGTTACCATTCACTTATTAGACAAAGTTATTTACATATGTAATATTTCTATTAAAATGTAATATTTCTATTTTTAGATACCAAACGCATGAGAAAAATATGAACAGCTGCAATATTTTTTTCATGTATTCAGGTTTCGCGAATCTCTATAATCTTATATCTAATTGCTCGAACATACACAGACAAGAAAAAATTGTGAGTGAAACCAGTTTTATCAGAACGAACTTACGACGCAAAGAAGACACCTGGATTCGAACATAGCCCCGCAATATCCAAGGAAGCTGATAATGAATGTGAGAGCACCGGCGATGATAAGAATGTAGGCCATCATCTTGATGACATCCGCGTCCGTCTTGTTCTGCAAGACAGAAAAATGCGATGAGAATACGAATCGTCGATAAATATTCATCGTCAAACGCGAGATGCGAGATTGCGCATTACTTATATATCTTAGAGTCGAAATCTCACGCCTTATAATACGCAAATTTATTTATTATACACGGAAAACAAAGTTTTGCCGACAAATATAAAAATGTGGATACAGATCTAAAAATAATTTTATTGAACCATCAATATTATTACGTAAGACGCTTAAGCATGATAATAATACTGCAAAATTTTTTATCTTTTAGCAATCAATTTAGCAATCAATTTTTTTAATTAATTCGTACATAATAATTTTGAAGGCTCAACAAAATTATTCTCAAATTTATATCTAATCAAATTTTTAAATTTTTTAGCAAAATTGTTCTTTCTTAATATCTTTTATATTTCCTTTTATTTATTATATATTTATTTCCAATAATTTTAAAACTAGCAAAAATTACTAACAAAATATAAAACGCAAAAACAAATCAAACGGAGATTTTATACTTCTTAAATAGAAATATAAAAACCATAAGCGAGAGATCTTGTCACTGATCCACAAATCTTCGCGCTTAGGGATAATTTTACTATAGTTTCTGACAAATTGGAATCTCCGTTTTGGGTTTAGCGACAAGCGAAATCTTAAACAACTCATCCATATGATTATAACTCTGTTTCCACAGATAAAAATATCGATGGCATTTTATCCAGTGATACCTGCACCACTTTAATATATTCCTCGATGTTTGTTCATTGCCAGATATAACGTATGCAAATTAAGAGCGCTAGTAAATCGCGGACGATTATTAAGCCGAGCTTGTCACCAAGTATCCAAGCATGGGTATTGTACAGAACGTGCTCGATACAAGAGCATCCTCTTACATCATAATGGCTCGCGAACGGCACTTGGAATACTTAATATAAGCTCCCCACACGCGAGCTGTCGTCGTGTCTGATAGATATCGAGTTTCACGAGGCGGATCAGAATGGTAACATAGACGCTCCTTTGTGCGGAGCGTCGCGAGAAACGAGGCTCCATCCACCGCACTGTTGCGGACACTCTTGCAATTCCGGATAGTTATTTGTTAAAAGGAGAAAATTGTATCCCAAGACAGAAAAAGGAAATAAGATGCGTTTCCTCGATACGCATTTTTTCGCTCGTCGCTTTCCCGAACCGAGAGCGATAGACTTTTTACAGGATGTGTTATCTTCATGTAAATCTCTTGTAGTAAATAGGATCGCACGCGTGTGCGAACTTGAAACACGAAGTCAAATCCAATCTGATAATCCATCGTTAATCCCGTGGTAACGTAGAATAACGAAAGCCGTACTAATCTATCCATCGCGTGTGAAAATCTACCCGTGAAAGAAAAAGAAAAGATTCCCAAGAACTCGAAAAATGTTGACAGCGTCAATCAATTAATAATCCTCGAAATTAAGAGGGGGGGAAAAAAAATCGAAAAAAGAAAGAAGGTCAATTAGAAGCTCGCTTAAAGAGAGCTGTAAACGTTCTCATGTTTTAATAATAAAAAAATAGATGTATATCTTTTCGAAGAATGCAAACTCAAGATTATTTTCAGTACGTCCTCGATAAGTCGTAAAATAATCATAAAATAATTCCGCCGTCTGCTAGGACATTACTCGAGAGTAATTCACAATCGCTCTCATGGCGCGTTTTATGACTTGTATGTTTAATAAGGCGATCACACGGTTGCGTGACCCATCGTTTTACATTGGCGAGAACGCAGCAGCCCCCGTCGTCTAAAGCACTGTTCCGCCAATTTGTACCTGCCGCGAATCACTTTGTAGGCACGTTGACATTCTTATCTCGAACACCTGTTGAACGGATATAAGATATTTTTAGTACGAGTTCCACCTTAGTATAGGCGCGCCTACGTTGCACGTCTTATTGAACCCTACCACTTGACGGCGAAGCGTGCCACGAAAAATCAGGTCACCAGGTGAAAGGACTAATAAGGCTGTCTCGTGTTCAGTTTCACCGGCTTGTTCCGCCAGATTGATCAAAACTATTCGAGCGGAGACAGCGAGTGATAAGCAAGACAACCAGCCAATTTTAATGCTATGCGATTTAAAACCATGAGTCATTCATCTCGCAAATCTAACGAGCGTATTGCCTACTACTTTACTAAGCGAATCTGGAAAATACTCATTAGCATTGATAACATTAAATTGCATATTTTAGTTTAATAACGTGAGATTATAGCTTTGGCATAATGAATATGTCTTCTTATTCGGGAAACTGCCAGTAACCGACACATACTTGCAAAATGCATAAAAAATAAAAATTATTATTAAGCGTAAGATCCAACTCGAATCGAAAATGTCAATTTCTATTTATTATGTGTTATATATCAGCTGGCATATCGGTCGCTATTACTTATTAAAGTGTTCATCAATCAGTTCGGAGTCAATTATTTTTTTAAAAGTCTGAAACGTCTGTGAGGACTTGAATTGTAAACGATTGAAAAGGAAGGATTTTTTAAAAGTTAAATTTAAAAGGAAAATAGAATCATATATTTCTCAATTTTAAGTAAACTTTGTATCGGATGAAATTTTAATTTAAAATTTCGTTGCTGTAAAAAGATATGTAATATCGAAAGACGAAAAGTATTCAGAAAAACTCTTTCAAAATATTCTCGGCCGATCGATTCGCAATTTTTCAGAAAAAATTCAATTGTCAACGGTTCTAATTTAAAAAAAAAAAAAATATAATCTACTCCTTTAATCTCCTTGAAATCTCTTTAAAACCTTTTAACTTTATAATTAGTTATTTAACGAACGCTATTAAAATAGAACAGAGAACTTTTTTTGCGCGTCCTTCGAGAGGAC